GTCGAGAGTGCGTATGTTGGAGAGGCAAAGTGCAATCGTCTTATAGTATTGCACTTTGCCTGTCAAAAGTTCCTCGCATCTCTTGAGTGTGAGGAAGTTTCTCGACAGAGGCACTTTCATATCGAATGTTGCCTCTGTCGAGATGTATGTGACAGGCAAAGTGCAATCGTCTTATAGTATTGCACTTTGCCTGTCAAAAAGTTCCTCGATCTTTTGAGTGGTGTGGGAAGTTTCTCGACAGAGGCAACTTTCATATCGAATGTTGCCTCTGTCGAGATGTATGTGACAGGCAAAGTGCAATCGTCTTATAGTATTGCACTTTGCCTGTCAAAAGTTCCTCGCATTCTTTGAGGTGTGAGGAAGTTTCTCGACAGAGGCAACTTTCATATCGAATGTGCCTCTGTCGAGATGTATGTGACAGGCAAAGTGCAATCGTCTTATAGTATTGCACTTTGCCTGTCAAAAGTTCTCGCATCTCTTGAGGTGTGAGGAAGTTTCTCGACAGAGGCAACTTTCATATCGAATGTTGCCTCTGTCGAGATGTATGTGAGCAAAAGTGCAATCGTCTTATAGTATTGCACTTTGCCTGTCAAAAGTTCCTCGCATCTTGAGGTGTGAGGAAGTTTCTCGACAGAGGCAACTTTCATATCGAATGTTGCCCTGTCGAGATGTATGTGACAGGCAAAGTGCAATCGTCTTATAGTATTGCACTTTGCCTGTCAAAAGTTCCTCGATCTCTTGAGGTGTGAGGAAGTTTCTCGACAGAGGCAACTTTCATATCGAATGTTGCCTCTGTCGAGATGTATGTGACAGGCAAAGTGCAATCGTCTTATAGTATTGCACTTTGCCTGTCAAAAGTTCCTCGCATCTCTTGAGGTGTGAGGAAGTTTCTCGACAGAGGCAACTTTCATATCGAATGTTGCCTCTGTCGAGATGTATGTGACAGGCAAAGTGCAATCGTCTTATAGTATTGCACTTTGCCTGTCAAAAGTTCTCGCATCTCTTGAGGTGTGAGGAAGTTTCTCGACAGAGGCAACTTTCATATCGAATGTTGCCTCTGTCGAGATGTATGTGACAGGCAAAGTGCAATCGTCTTATAGTATTGCACTTTGCCTGTCAAAAGTTCCTCGCATCTCTTGAGGTGTGAGGAAGTTTCTCGACAGAGGCAACTTTCATATCGAATGTTGCCTCTGTCGAGATGTATGTGACAGGCAAAGTGCAATCGTCTTATAGTATTGCACTTTGCCTGTCAAAAGTTCCTCGCATCTCTTGAGGTGTGAGGAAGTTTCTCGACAGAGGCAACTTTCATATCGAATGTTGCCTCTGTCGAGATGTATGTGACAGGCAAAGTGCAATCGTCTTATGTATTGCACTTTGCCTGTCAAAAGTTCCTCGCATCTCTTGAGGTGTGAGGAAGTTTCTCGACAGAGGCAACTTTCATATCGAATGTTGCCTCTGTCGAGATGTATGTGACAGGCAAAGTGCAATCGTCTTATAGTATTGCACTTTGCCTGTCAAAAGTTCCTCGCATCTCTTGAGGTGTGAGGAAGTTTCTCGACAGAGGCAACTTTCATATCGAATGTTGCCTTGTCGAGATGTATGTGACAGGCAAAGTGCAATCGTCTTATAGTATTGCACTTTGCCTGTCAAAAGTTCCTCGCATCTCTTGAGGTGTGAGGAAGTTTCTCGACAGAGGCAACTTTCATATCGAATGTTGCCTCTGTCGAGATGTATGTGACAGGCAAAGTGCAATCGTCTTATAGTATTGCACTTTGCCTGTCAAAAGTTCCTCGCATCTCTTGAGGTGTGAGGAAGTTTCTCGACAGAGGCAACTTTCATATCGAATGTTGCCTCTGTCGAGATGTATGTGACAGGCAAAGTGCAATCGTCTTATAGTATTGCACTTTGCCTGTCAAAAGTTCCTCGCATCTCTTGAGGTGTGAGGAGTTTCTCGAACGAGGCAACTTTCATATCGAATGTTGCCTCTGTCGAGATGTATGTTGACAGCAAAGTGCAATCGTCTTATAGTATTGCACTTTGCCTGTCAAAAGTTCCTCGCATCTCTTGAGGTGTGAGGAAGTTTCTCGACAGAGGCAACTTTCATATCGAATGTTGCCTCTGTCGAGATGTATGTGACAGGCAAAGTGCAATCGTCTTATAGTATTGCACTTTGCTGTCAAAAGTTCCTCGCATCTCTTGAGGTGTGAGGAAGTTTCTCGACAGAGGCAACTTTCATATCGAATGTTGCCTCTGTCGAGATGTATGTGACAGGCAAAGTGCAATCGTCTATAGTATTGCACTTTGCCTGTCAAAGTTCCTCGCATCTCTTGAGGTGTGAGGAAGTTTCTCGACAGAGGCAACTTTCATATCGAATGTTGCC